CCCCAAAACCCCAAAACCCCATCACTAATTTATCAGGTAAATAAAGCATAATAACAAATTTAAATTTTTAACTACTAATAAATGGGTAATCAAGTCGATCGCCAATAAAATCAATCTATTTAAGATCTGCCTTAAAAATCACAATCTATAATTTAAAGCATGAGTCCACCTGATATTCAGAATCAGAAATAATTGAAAACTTCAGGCACTGCTCCAAATCTTCATACAAATCCCTCAGTTACAAATATTGGAAGAAGCAAGCCCACAATATCAAATCAAGTGACTGGAGCATTTAAAGACAAGCCACCAATTTCGTAATCAATGACTAAAGCTCAAATTCCATTGAATAACCCCCATTCTTAGAAAAATAAACTCTAGATAATGTCAGCGATGACATCGAGAGTATTACAGAAAGAAAAGTAGATGTCTTCCACTTCTAACCTTCATTCTTTTGCTAATCCATCTTCTAATTTGAATTAGCAAAATAGAACAAATTTTAAAAGAACTTAAGAAATTAAAACTAATGATTACCTTATGAATACCACGAGTATGATCAATAAGCTTGATACTTCAGACAACAAATCTTTTGTCAATAACAGTGAATAAGTAAGGAAAAGTTCACCTCACACAAACTTTGATACAGATAATATTGCCTCAATTTAGATAGAACCATTTCAAAACATCTCTAATAGAATCTATTAACAGTAATATAACTAGTTCAACAGCGGTGGTAATACTTTGAGCAATAATTAGAAACTAGATCACTCTGCAAACGAAGGATATTCTTCAACTCTTACTCCCTTCAAAGGAAGTGCTTAAGAAAACTAGGGATTTAATAGCGGAATGATTCCAATCATAAACTAGACCAAATTTTATAATCATCCTCCTCAATACAATTCACATTAGGTTTAACCAGGCTAATATGGAAGACTACATAGTAAGAGTGCTCATGTTGCAGCAGCTGAATAGGAAAGAAGTACAGAACATCAAGATGAAAATATAGATATGTACAAGATGCAACAAAGACTGTTAAGAAAGCTCAAAAACTAAAGAAAGAAGCCAAATTAAGGTTAAAACTAATAACCAAAGTAAAAAAGAACAAACACTTCCTAAATTCGTTAAAGCTAACTTAAGACTGTTTAAAATGAGAATGTAAATTCGATGCTTGTTATGTCAGGCTAGACCACCGGACCACTAACTATGAGATAGCAGTAAAGTTAAAAGCATTTAATGGTAGATTAAGTTTATAATCCCCAAATAAGGCAGAATTTTACTCCAAATAACCAAGACATGGCTCATTCTCCACTTTAAAAATCATATTTTTCTCAATAGCAATAGTAAAATTTTTAACAACAATATCAGAATACTTACTCTAATCTTTAATAATAGAGAAATTAGTAGTAAAATATGCATGCTTTGGCATTGTCTTATTAAGAATAAAAAATAAGAACTTTAAAGTTCGGTGAATCTGGATAGATAATTCCTACTGATATAGTCATAACTATGATTCAATACGATACAATACTGTTTTAAAAGTTTATGATGCTTTCACCATCATGGCATACTAGTGCGCTTTAGGCTATTGATGAGCATTGCAATAAGATTGAAAATCAATTCGTCTAGAATTACATTGATTACTTTTTCTTTAAACAGTCATATACTTAAACAATGCCAATTAAGTTCTGTGGAGAAAAAGGTTTAAGATTAGATAGAGTTATTGAATGCGAATTACTAGCAAATAAAGCTATAAACTCTGGAAACAAAACAGTCAGAATATCTTGTTCATACAAAGTTTTTGGAGATAAAACTACCTATAAAGCTGAATACAAGTTTGATGCTTGTAAGCAAGGAACTAAACGTCTATTTTGGCTTCATCAAGACACTGCAAATAAAGAAACATATACTCAGCCAATTTAATAAGTATGTGTTGGGGATAGCATTGAGTTCTCAGTTAGTTTGTTGTCACTTCAAGGCTGTGTTTCAGAGATTAAATGGGAAAAGCCTCTGATTTAAGAAACTCCGAAATAGTCAGTTCTTAACTATGACAAAGATTGGACAAGAAAGACATCATTTTTCAGGATTGGAGATAGCTCCATAAAGATATACTGCGATCTGAATAGAATTTGCGAGCTAGAAGATGCCGTTGTTGAATGGTATGAAGAACCTTACTACCAGAAAAGGACTGATTTGTTCGACCTTAGTTTTTTGAAAGATTACTTTAATATCAAGAAAATAGAATATGCAGGAGTGGACGGGACTATCTGCAAGATCAATATGATTGCATAGAAAGAAGGCTCGATAGATAAATCTAAATTGGGATTGAAAGTTTCTATAAAGGGTTAAAAAAGTGAACTTCTAAATGAGATCAAAAGACTTGGGTATCTGAAGGACAGGGAACTTCCAGTTTAGATTAGAGTCGGAGATCATGTTATAGCATACATATCGAAATAAATCGCTTGATTAAATACTATATATCTTAAACTAATTGAACTTTCTTATGATTCAATGCTTGTTTAAACTCTAACTTAATTTGACCTAATTTAATTGATTTTATCCTTATAAAATTATAAATTTGAATTTAAACAAAATGCAATAAAAACAACTGGAATAAGTCAGGAAAGACTACCCTGCCAAGATAAAAACAGATAATGCAGCAATCACAGCACTTTAAAAGGCATTAGCAATTCTCCCCAAATCTATTGAGGGTATTTTACTTCCTACTTATTAGATATTTTTAGCAAGTAAAAAAGATAGCACTAATCTTAGCAATGTGCTAGGCAAAATAGATTAAACTTAGGAAATGAGTCCAAATTTTTTGAACATTTATCAAGCAATGAGGACTACAATAACTTCTATTTAAGAGCTTTAGACTGATAAGGTAAACTTCAATCTATTCTATAAAGTAATTTTATAGGGAAACAGACTAAAAGAAGTATCGACGGCTCTTGGATAGTTTTCAGCAGATAATACTCTGAAAATGAAGGAAATGGTAGAATCAGGTGAAACTGCTAATAGCTTCTCCTTTTTACATTAAGACTTCTAAAGAATTCAAAAGCACAAGGTAAAATTCAATTCATCTAATACAATAGAAACTATTCCAATCCTTTATTTACTAGGAGATGAAGGAGCATGCTAAATAGTTTGAGATATATTGCAAACTATTTGAAGACACTCAAACAAAGATCAACACAATATAAGAATTTGCAATGACTATGGATGCTGGAAACAGATACAAGGCTCAAGATTTAGAGGAATTCTTATAGCTGAAAATGAAGTAGGGAATGGCTGCAGATATGGGTAACTAATTTAGAGGAGGCCATGCACCACCGAGAAGTTAAAGCCAATAAAGAACTCCTCAAAGGATGATGGGAAATGACAGTAATCCATCCTCAGCCCAAAGAGGAAGATCTGAAGCACCGCCTGAAGTAGGAAGAAGATGAGAATTCAGTCAGTTTTATGATTATTAAGTATTGCCAATTGAGTTTTGTAATAAAGTACATTTTAATTGAACCTCAGATTACTAAAGCTTTAATCATGAATGAGTGTAAAATTTATTACAGCATGCAACTTAATCATTAATGTATTTTCCTCCCTTGACTCGTAAATGCTGCAATCTTTAAGCATTATAGCCTAGCAAGGAAATATTAGTATCAACTAGCATTACCGTCTAGCTCAATAGTATATCTATTAAGCTAAGACTCCTAATGAAATCTTATGCAGATCTCATTAGGGCTAGTGCCTCTATTGAGGTTGATTAGGTTTGCAAACTATATAAATTTTACTCATATTCGCCTTTCATCATCATACGTTCATTTATGGATAATATTTATATATACTTGTGCTAAATTACTTTAAACATCGTTAAGAAGGGGTTTTGGGGTTTTGGGGTTTTGGGG